CCAGACAGGTCCCTCGCCCTCGCCATATAATGATTATTAACAAGATTTCCCCACAGATTTCAATTGATTGGGAGTTCTGCTTAAAAATCAATGGCATACTATGCCTCAAATTACACAAAGATGCCTGTTACTCTTTAGATGAAAAATAAGGGGGTGAACAGGAGTCACTGAACAACTAGGGACATGATTGAAGATTTGTAACTTCACAGGCAGGCAGAAGTAGGGGTTGATTATAACAGCAAAAGATTCTCCTTAAACACAAATATCTTCTTAATTAGAGCAAGAATGACAGGAAACCAGATGCAGGAAAGGAACAGGGAAAAAAAATATATTGCATAAGTGTGAAAGGATCACTCCTTTATATTTATATCTTCCATCACTCTGCAGAGACGCCAAAGAAGGTAACAGGAATGAGAGTCGGGATACTGGGTTTGAGATTTAGACTCTTGTCCACCTAGACTGAACTCATCAGTTTATTTCATATAGGCCACGTTCCAAGGGTAACAACTCTCAACTCACTGCTTAATACCAACCTGGCTTGCACATGGAAGTGAAAAAGCTCCACATCCCAGTCCTAATTCCCTGAGTCAGCCAATCACTCAGTGCATCAGATTTTGTCCTAATCATCATGGAGATAAGCTGTCCATTAAGGCTGGGCTCTACAAAAGGGGGCGCAGGGAGTTCCAGGTCCATCACACACTGATTTATAATGGGATTTTGGTTACTAACTCCTTGAAAATCCCCAGCCTAAAAACATTCATATGAAATTCAATATAACTAGATCCAGCAAATATACCTGGTCACGTTTGTCTATTCAGGGAAATCCATTTTAAATATTTAGTTTGCAAAATATATTTAAAAGGCTTCTAATAAAGTCAAAAATAGCAAAACCCCCTGAACGGACAAACAAAACTCCGCAAATCATCATTAAATTCACAGATATGTGTCTGCTAAATGAAAGGATGTGCATGAATGTTGAATGCGTCTCTGAGAGCGGTAATGGGCGTTAGGGTTTACGCTCTTTTGTTAACTTCCCACAATTTCCTGTACATATGAAAGAGAAAGACAAAAATGTTTTTATACAGCATGGCAGGTTAAGACTATCATAGCTCGGATCAAGGGAAAAAATGCAACGGACCTAGAGAACTTTCTGTCTTTTTCTTGCCTCAGAAACCCTTTCCTTCCTGTTTGATACAACACCCCATTTTCCTTGCTCATGGTTGTAGTAACATATCCTATGATCCTCACAGCCACCGGAGAACTGGTCAAGAATCCCTAATCTTGCTGCTCAGTGATGCTCTTGAATTGGGTGAAGTGATGCCCCTGGGGGAGTTGAGACTTGCCATGGCCTGACCCAGGCTGTAAGCATTGCCATCACAGCAATCCCGCTAGGCTACCAGGATATGCCAAGTCAGAACTCGTCTGAGGTTGAACACACGTAAGGTTTCCTGTACATACTCTAGTTAGGAGGTTGGGAAGTCTCTTACAAGGCTAATGCCACTTCTGTTTTATATACAGTCTAGTGAGAAAATGCTTTTACAATGAGTTGCCATCACCTTAGTCCAGCGGTGGGCAAACTTTTTGGCCCGAGGGCCAAATCGGGGTTGCAAAACTGTATGGAGGGCCGAGTAGGGAAGGCTATGCCTCCCCAAACAGCCTGGTCCCCGCCCGGCCCCTGCCTGCCCCCCTCAGAACCCCCCGACCCATCTAACCCCCCCTGCTCCTTGTCCCCTGACTGCCCCCCGAACCTCGGCCCCATCCAACCCCCTCGCTCCCTGTCCTCTGACTGCCCCCCGAGACCCTCTGCCCCTTATCCAATCCCCCCGCCCTGGCCCCCTTACCATGCCGCTCAGAGCAGCATGTCTGGCAGCCGTGCCGCTCGGCCAGAGCCTGCCACGCTGCCCTGCAGGAGCTCGCAGCCCCGCCGCCCAGAGCACTGCCCGTGCAGTGGCATGGCTGCAGTGGAGGGGAGACAGCAGGGGAGGGGCCAGGGGGCTAGCCTCCCCAGCCAGGAGCTCAGGGCGGGGAAGGACGGTCCAGCCCGTAGTTTGCCCACTTCTGCCTTAGTGGCTAGCATGTCTCCATGACTGACAAAGCAGGAGAGACCCAAGTAAGTAAAAAGCTAGAAATATTATAGTCCAGTTATTTGAGTTAAAAGTACTAATAGCCCCACCCCACTTTAGGTAATCCCCTTGGTCCCTCCATCTCACAAATATACACATCTCACAAATGAAGCGCTTAGAAATTACAACAACAAAAACCTTTTATGAGAGGGAAGAATCTCTAAATCTGATTCCCTTGGCATTTCTGAAGGTGGGGTAAGATTGGATTCCCTTGAGTCAAACCTGCCCCTCCAATTCTGATTCTGGGCCTAGCTCTGATGGAGCTAAAAATCTCTCGAAAACAGATAATACTGTGATTTTCCCACCACATATGATGGCAGAAAAGTCTCAAGAATTCTCAAATGATTAGATTTCTAATAAGATAATAATAAGCATAAGATTTCTGCTGTCCTGGAACAGACATCCTGTCAGAACAGCTTGTGAGATTTCAGTGCCATCAAATTCAAACTCAAGCCCTGATTTGGCCTTGAACCTGTATTTCAAACCCTAGCCTAAACCAAATCCAGACTCAAATGTCACTTCCTCAGCTGATCTCTACAATAAAAACCCAAGCACTTCGGACAAGATAGGAGCTGGGAGCTGGCCAGGCAGCAGTTATTAATTCACTTTAACTGCTGCAAAAGTCACTGGATGCTTTTATATGGAAATTCTAGACCAGCAACAAGTTTCAGCCATGCAGGGAGATTCTTCAGCTCCCCTCACCCCCCAATTACAAAACCATTAATAATTACAGAAGGGAAAATTTCTGCTTTGCCCAAGCTGGTATTTTACATTAAAAAAAGAAATGAAAGGGAAAAAAGGCCAAACTTATTCAAAAATTTGACCTTTAGAAACATCTATAATGTCTCCATTTTTTTTTAAGAAAAATTTAATTTTTTCCAATATGTTTGGAGCAGTCAGCTGGAAAAGTAATCTGAATAGTTCACAGGTACATTGGCTTACAATAGGCCAAAGCTCTGTAGATGTTTTTTAAAAGTCTACTCTCTTAAGAACTACCGCAGTAAATACTGGCCATTAGTGCAGAAAAGTAGTGGAATGTGAAGCAAGGAGTGCTATATGAACAATAGACCTCTGGACCACTGCTGTTGAATATTAGACATTTTAAAAGGGAGTCAGCAGACTATCATCATCACAATCAGGAATTGGTTTAATTTGTGAGACATGGGAACTGGCTGGTGTCCTCTGATACAACACAGGCTGGAATACATGCGTGGCAATCATCCCCAACTGAAATATGAATCTAGTATTCCTTCTGTGCACAAACCAAAGGGGCTCCATTAACAGAAGAGGAACAAAACGATGGAGGAAAGCCACAAAAAACAGCTAAATGATCCTAGTAAAAATTCAGACAGCAACAGTTTTACACAGAATATATGGAAGTGAAAATATGTGACATAATCAAGAAGTTGAATCACTGCTTTATGTGCAAAACTCAACACAACTTTAACTATAAACTTGCTACTGGCACCTCCATAATGACAACTTGCTTTTGATTTCACAAAAACACACTTTGCCGCTTGGCTTGAAAGTTTCACACACTGATGTGCTGCATCCCATTTCCCAAAACAATACACTTCCTCTCTTTGGAAAGAGTTGTGCAAGTTGCAAAATGAAGCAAGTACTGCAAACCAACGAGGCCCCTGAAACCCGTGTGTCTTTAATCTGACACAACAATCCCTGAAAGAATATTTGATTCTTAGGCTTCATCTGGCCTCCTGAATATTCCATGTGTTCTATAGCGAGCTAACGTACACTGTACATTACTTTAATTTTGACAGAAGCTGTTGGCTACACCTACACTACACATTACCAGTGGCGGCATGTCATGTATATGTAGCTACACAGGCTGCATCCACACTGTGGGGTGTAACTACACACGTCAGTGAAAGGTTTTGGTGGGAGAGGCAGTGGGGACGGGTGAGCCCTTGCCAGAGTCTTTCCGCGTGCAAGGGGAATGCTCCTGCAGTGGGGAGCTGGTGGAACCTTTCCCCCCTGCGAGAGCCTTTCCCGTTCTGCAGTAGGAAGCTACCCAAGCTTTTCTCCACTACCACTGCCGCCAGAGCCTTCCCTTGCTGGGGGAATCTATTCCTGCGGCAGGGAAGGCACCAGAAGTGGG